AATACCCTTCCCCCAAAAAATGTGGCCGCTCAATCCACGACTGTTTGTGAAACGCTGGTGTGCGCAATTGGCTGCCGGGTTTTGCCTACAAAATACACAGTCACTGCACTTTACAGTATATTCATGTGAAGCGCTTTGAGACGTCTCGTAGACGTGATAAGGCGCTGTATGAAATGCAAGGATTATTACAAATAGAATGTTTTTTTTACTTTTAGATGCAAACTCTTACATGTTGCGCTTTCCCAACCTGACCCGATGGCAGTTCTGCCAGCGCCCCGGGCCAGGCCGGTTTGGGTAAGTTTCCGTTTTTCTGCCTCTCGGACCTTTGCTGATGTTCCAGCTTCATTGCGATGCTGCGCTGTAATGTTTTAGTCAGCACTTGAGCTGTAATATAATGACTGCTCCCTTTCAAACACAGAACCATGTAATTTCAGCTCCATTGCCCAGCCAACTGCCAGTGTCAAGTGTGCCTTGTTCCACCCTCAACTGCTCTTTAAACTACACATCCGTGCCATGACCCATTCTGCCTTCCCCACCTCCACGATATTGCCCAGCTCCGCCACTTCCTCGTCTCCTGAGGCTGCTGAAACCCAGCTTCACTGACTACCTGTCCCCCAGAAGATTGAGTTTATGATCCTTGTCCTCACTTTTGAAGCCCTCCATGATCTTGCTTCTTTCAGCCTCTGCGACCTAATAATACCTTACCAACCTGCCCACTCCCTCTGCTCAATGGGCACTGGCCTGCTCTATCTCCCCCACCCATCCTGCTCCATCATTGGTGGTCCATCCCTCAGCCTTTCTAACCCCACCATCTGGAGCTTCATCCCGGAATCCGTTCGCCTCGTCCCCTCGCTTGCCCACTCTTGCCTCCTTCAAGACCAGTCTCAAGACCTTCCTCTTTGACAGTGCCTTCAGTCATTCTCTCATCCCACCCCCCTTGACTCCAACCCCCAGCTGGGGTACAAACCCCTGACTGACCAGCGCCTTGGAACGTCCTCCCAACGTGAAAGTTGCTATGTGGAGACCTGCAGCTCAGTGGTTAGAGCGCTCGCCTCGCAAGCGAGAGGACTTTCAGACTGGGTTTGATTCTAGTCAGGGTGAAACGTTGGTCGGTTCCTTACTCCAGACACCTCTGTGTACCCAGTAGTCAGCAGGAACCTGGTTGTTAGTCGATTGGCAGATCACTATTCCGGGGGTAATAATCCCCTAAAAAAANCGGTCACTCAATCCACGACTGTTTGTGAGTACGCTGCTGTGCGCAATTGGCTACAGCGTTTCCCCCATAAAATATACAGTCATTTTACTTCACAGTGTATTCTGTGAAGCGCTTTGAGACTTTGATGATGTGATAAGGCGCTGTATCAAATGCCAGGATTATTATTATTATTTATTATTCAGACCATTGAGACGAAATTGATACCAGCTGTTCCACTCGTACTCCCTTTGTGTACACTCTCTTCCTGTGTGCACTTGCACACACTTACCAGCGCAGTTCATTCAGTTGTGCTCTTACGTCTGGGTCAGAAGGTTACAGGTTAAAATCCCAGGTTGGGATTTGTGCACACTCTTAAGTATCCTCCAGATTAATTGGTCTTTTGTTTTATGGTGTTGGTAGGATCTTGCTGTTTTCATATTAGCTGGCATGTTTGCCTACAATATACAGTCAGCATACTTTAGCAATTTGTTTGTGTGAAGTACTTTGAGATGTTTTGATGTGACAGGTGTTGGAATTATATATAATAATAATACTCCTTGCATTTGAAATAGCGCTTTTCACGTCTTCTCGACCTCTCAAAGCGCTTCGCAGAACACACTGTAAAGTGAATTGACTGTATATTTGTGGGCGAACGCGGCAGCCAATTGCGCACAGCAATGTCCCACAAACAGTCGTGGGTTGAAAATGACCAATTTATTATTGTTTTTGGTTTTGGAGGATTATTATTAGGCTCTGTGTGGAGTAAGGAAACTTGCCCGAGGTTTCGCCCTCTGCCTGGAATATAGGTGAAATGTAGGTGAATGTAGGTGAAATATATATATTTCACCGACACAATATATAGTCAATTCACAGTGTATCCTGTGAAGCGGTTTGAGACGTCTCGAAGAGGTGATAAGACGCTGTATCAAAGGTGATAAGGTGACTGTGCACAGAATACATAATAATAATCCTTGCATTTGATATAGTATCTTCTCTGCCTTCCCTCACCCCTAACCCACCCCTCCCCCATGTTTGGGTCCTGACCCCTGATTGTCCAGCGCCTTGGGACATTCTCCCGACGTGAAAGGCGCTCGATAAATGTAATTTTGTTATTGTTGTTGTTGTTGTTCTGTCCCTACCTCTCTGTGGCTCTGTCTCTCTCTGTGCCTGTGATTCTCTGTGTGTTCCTGTTACTCCCTCTCTCTGTGTCTATGTGTCTCTCTCTCTATATATCTCTCTCTGTGCCTTTCTCGCTCTCTGCCTTTCTCTCTTCTCTCTGTCTGTGACTGAGTCTCTATCTCTGTGTCTCTCTATCTCTCTGTGTGCCTTTCTCTCTCTCTCTGTATCTCTGTATCTATCTGTCTCTCTTTCTCTCTGTCTGTGACTGACTCTCTCTGTGTGTCTCTGTGACTCTCTCTGTCTGTGACTCTCTCTGTCTGTGACTCTCTCTGTGCCTCTGTCTCTCTTTCTCTCTTTCTGTGACTGTGACTCTGTCTGTGTGTCTGTGACTCACTGTAGCTGTATCTCTGTCTCTCTCCCTCTGTGTGTGTCTCTCTCTGTCGCTCTCTGTCTGTCTCTGTCTATCTCTGTCTCTGTGTCGCTCTCTGTCTGTCTCTGTCTGTCTATCTCTCTCTGTCTCTGTGTGTGTCTCTCAGTCTCTGTCTGTATCTCTCTCTCTGTGTCTCTATCTGTGTGTGTCTCTCTGTGTCTCTGTCTCTCTCTCTGTGGGTGTGTGTGTCTTTCTCTGTGTCTCTATCTGTGTTTCAGTCTCTCTGTGTCTCTGTGTGTCTCTCTCTCTCTCTCTGTGTCTCTCTCAGTCTCTCTCTGTCTCGCTCTCTGTGTCTTTCTCTCTCTCTCAGTCTCTCTCTCAGTGTCTGTGTGTGTGTGTGTCTCTCAATCTCTCTCTCTCTGACTCTGTGTCTGTCTCTCTCTCTCTCTCTCTCTCAGTCTCTCTGTGTCTTTCTCTCTGTGTCTCTGTGTGTGTGTCTCTCTCAATCTCTCCCTCTCTCTCAGTCTCTCTGTGTGTGTCTCTCTCTCTCTCAGTCTCTCTCTCTCTCAGTCTCTCTCTATCTCTCTCAGTCTCTCTCTGTGTGTGTGTCTCTCAATCTCTCTCTCTGACTGTGTGTGTCTCTCTCTCTCAGTCTCTCTGTGTGTGTGTGTCTCTCTCTCTCTCTCAGTCTCTCTCTCTCTCAATCTCTGTGTGTGTGTCTCTCTCTCTCTCTCTCAGCGTCTCTCTCTCTGTCTCTCTGTGTATCTCTCTCTCAGTCTCTCTGTGTGTGTGTCTCTCTCTCAGTCTCTCTCTCTCTCAGTCTCTCTCTATCTCTCTCTCTCAGTCTCTCTCTGTGTGTGTCTCTCTCAGTCTCTCTCTCAGTCTCTCTGTGTGTGTCTCTCTCAATCTCTCTCTCTCTCTGTCTCTGTGTCTCTCTCTCAGTGTCTCTCTCTCTCAGTCTCTCTGTGTGTGTGTCTCTCTCTCAGTGTCTCTCAGTGTCTCTGTGCCTCTCTCTGTGCCGCCCCCTGGCGGTGCTCACCAGCCACCGCAGCTGCTGTGTGTAAGATGGCGGCGGCGCTCCCGCTCCGCTCCTCTCCTTCGCTCCCGGTGAGTCTCTGCCGCCCGCCCGTTCCCGGTGTCCGTCCCCGGGCTCCGGGGGTCCCTCCCCCCCTTTTACCCGGAGCAGCGAATGGGGGGGGGAGTGGGGGGAGCCTGAGGCCCCGGTGAGTGGCGGTGGGTAAGGCCCCCGCTCGAGGCCTCCAGCCCTCGCCCACACTCACAGCCCGGGCCTGGGGCCTAAGGCTGGGCGGGGGGGGGGCGGGGGGGCGCGAGAGACAACCGGAGCCGCCGGAGCCTGGGGCCTACCTGACCCCGGGCGGGTGGGGGGAGGGCCCGAAGCCGGGGCCTGGCGTTTCTCCTCACCCCGGGGGCAAGAGGGGAAGCGGGAGGGAGGGAGAGGTTCAATCGGTGCAGGGAGGAAGGCGCTAGGCCCGTAAGCCTCGGGCTCGAGTGGTGGTGTTGGGGGCGGGTGGAGAGGGGCCACACAAAGCAGAGGGATTAGCAGAGAGGGAGAGGGGGAGAGGGGCTGCAGCTGCGGCGGCGTTGGCTGCGGCCCCCGAACCCAACCCCAGAACAATGTGTTGCCCTGAACTGGGAACGGTGTGTGTGTGTGGGGGGGGGGGGGGGGTGTGGGGGCTATAATAACAATGTGTGTGTGTGGCTATGATAATAATAATAATAATAATAATGTGTGTGTATAATGATAATAATCCTCGCATCTGATGTCAGGCTCTCCCGGACGCTACCCCCCGCGTAAAGGGCGCTACAATAAATGCAAGTTGTTGTTGTTGTTGTCGTCGTTGACCGCGTCGTCGAGACGTCTCGAAGCACTTCGCGGATACGCTGCGAAGTGCGGGGACTGTTGGTTTTGTGGGTGAAAGTCCTCACGTTCAGCTAAATCCTCTCGCGCGGAGAGTTTTGTTGGTTGCTGACCCGCCATCAATCGTCTCATCTAAACCTTTTCTCTCTCTTTTTTTTCCCCCCACCACTCCTTTCCGCAGCGTCCCGGCAAGTGCTCGCCTTGGATTGTATCTGCAGCCGTCGTGGTCTGGACGATAGACGACAGTGCTTGAGAGTGTTTTTTTCCCAAATCGTTGGGATTTTGAAAGTTAACTCGTGGACGCTCGCTTCGTTATTTTGCATAAAAGAACATTTTAAAACCGGTCAAAATACCATCGTAGAGGTTTTGGGGGGGACTTCTCCAACCCCCACACCACCCCCCCCCCCCCACCCCCCACCCCTTACCCTTCTCGGGAGTGAGTTTGCTCGTGGTGAGAGACTGTGGGCGATTGGCTTTGATTTGGAGAACGCCTATGCTATGGTGAACTGTTTCTTGTCTCGGAGAAATCTATTTTTGTTATGTGTGGAACTGGTTCAACACAGAGATAAGGGGTAAAGCTCTCTGTGGTTATTGGGAATCATCAGTCATGGTGAAGCTTGCTAATCCGTTATACACGGAGTGGATCCTGGAGGCCATCCAGAAAGTTAAAAAGCAGAAACAGAGACCTTCTGAGGAAAGGATTTGCAATGCTGTCTCCTCGTCCCATGGATTAGACCGGAAAACGGTGCTGGAACAACTGGAACTGAGCGTGAAAGATGGGACGATCTTAAAAGTTGCAAATAAGGGACTTAATTCGTACAAGGACCCAGATAATCCAGGACGGATTGTGCTTCCAAAACCTCGGAATCCATCAAAGTCTGATGCTAAACACAATGTTGACTGGAATAAACTCCTCAAAAGGGCAATTGAGGGTTTATCAGAGGCCAATGGGTCATCATTGAAGAGTATTGAACGTTTTCTGAGGGGGCAGAAGGATGTGATCGCAGCGTTTGGAACCGGCACCGCTTCGTCCCTCCACCAGCAACTGAGGCTATCCCTCAAGCGGGCCGTGAGCCACAACAGGATCGTCAAGGATGGGCCTCTGTATCGGCTCTCGCGGGGCAAATCGAGTGGTGACGGCAAGCAGGGACACGAGTCCATCTCTTGCCTCCCGCCAGTCAACCTGCTGACCCACGAAAAGGACAAGGTAGGTTATACTTGGAATAGGTAGAGTGTAACTTTTGTATTAAGTTGGCTATCGCGGGTGGGAAGAAACAAGTTTGTGAATAGTAATAATGATAATCCTTGCATTTGATACAGCGCCTTATTACGTCTTCGAGGTCTCAAAGTGCTGCACAGAATATACTGTAAAGTGAATTGACTATATATTTGTGGGTGAAACGTGGAAGCCAATTACGCACAGCAGGGATTCAGTGGCTGAATTATTGTTATTTTCTTTGGAGGGATTATTACCCTTGGAAAGGGATCCGCCAATCGACTAACAACCGGGTTCCTACTTACTGCTGGTAAACAGAGGCGTGTTTGTGGAGTAAGGAAACTTGCCCAACGTTTCGCCCTGTCGGGAATCAAACCCAGGTCCTCTCGCTTGCGAGTGCTCTAACCACTGAGCTGCAGTACTTGTCGGGGCAGACTTCTCTCAGTAACCTTGGAACATGTGGCTGCGATGCTGCTCTCACATCCACTTAGTTCATGTCCTTGCTCTGCACAAATTGCAAAGGCTAAAGGCTACGTTTTCGGCCACTTCACGTATATTTTTGATGGGTATCAGGAACGCTCACTTCAGCTGAGAAAAATGCTTCAAATTGGATAAGAGTTATAGCAATCTAGTTTTGCCGCTCAAGTGTCCCTGTAGCTTTGTGGTTAGAGCACTCGCCTCGCATGCGAGAGAGCCTGGGTTTGATTCCAAGGCATGGCGAAAATTCGGCAAATTTCCTTACTCCACGTACGCGCTTCTGTTTACTGTAGGGTGGAACCATATGCAAATTTCCTTACTCCACATACACACCTCTGTTTACCTAGCAGTCAGTAGGAACCCAGTTACTAGATGATTGGCGCACCGCTTTAGGGGTCTTCATTTAAAAAANGTAATAATTTGTCACTCAATCCGCAACTGTTTGTGGAGATGCTGCTGTGCACAATTGTCTTTCACCCACAAAATACACAATCACTACACTTTACAGTATATTCTGTGAATCCCTTTGAGACATCTCGAAGACCTGATAAGACGCTATATCAAATGCAAGGATTATTATTATGCGTCACTTGCGCAGGACGTAAACCTTTTGGATATGTAATAAAGGGTATCCATGTCAACCCCTTCTCTACAAGACAGTTATCCTGTAGTTGTTAAAAGCTTACATTCACAATGTTTTTGTGGTTCTTAAGATAACTGTAATTTGCTAAGAAGGGCCAGCGGAGATTTCAAAAGGCCTGTCTGTCATCATGGTAGTATTTCTTTATTTGTAGAGATATTTTTACAGGATATCCCAAATTAAGCTTCAAAGCGTTTCCCAGTTGGTTCCTGCTGCAGGATGGCAAATAAGTACAGTGTAGCAGACAAAATAGACAACGGAACTATATACAGTTCCGCGGTTTACGATTCTTGTCATGCTTGAACTGTGTGAGAATTGGTGCTTCAAGTTCACTTATTCATCTGTCAGTTGCCGCAAACTCCCAAGTGCAGCAACCTCTCTTATGTTGCACACAACAATACCAGGCAAGCTTGGCAGTATAAATCCTGCTGAATTAAGCCCTCTGACTGATAACATCACCAGAATGCACCCTTTCAGGATTTGGTACTGTGCCAGGATGAGGTTCGGAGTATACATGCAACTACAATGGAGTTGTAATGTGGGAGAGTACAATTGTCTTCACTTTTCCCCAGAGTTTTACAATGACCAAGTTATTACGGAGTGTGAGAGTAGTTAGCGCAGGTGGTAAGTTAGTTAGTAAGTCACATAATAAGGACTGCCATAGTGTTGGAAGAGACTACATTTGTGATTTGACAGCTGGATCTGCTGTAAAATTGTGAACTAAGTGCAGTTTAATGCTACAGACTGACTGGTCTGTTCAGTAAAATGAGAAATCAGAACATTTCCTTTTGGTGATGTACAGTACATCCCAGACTGGTGGAGTCCTGTAACTTAGTGGTTTGAGCATTCGCCTTACAAGCGAGAGGTCCCAGATTGGATTCCCGGACAGGGCGAAACGTTAGGCAAGTTTCTTTACTCCATACGCCTCTGTTTACCCAGTAGTAAGTAGGAACTTGGTTGTTAGTCGATTGGCAGATCGCTTTTCCGGGGTTAATAATTCCTTCAAAAAAATCACTCAATCCATGACTGTTTGTGGGACACTACTGTGCGCAATTGCCTGTTCGATTTGTCCATGAAATACACTGTCACAACACTTTACAGTATATTCTGTGAAGTGCTTTGAGACGTCTCAAAGACGCGTTAAGGCGCTATACCAAATGCCAAGATTATTATTATTGTATTATTGTGCCATTGATAAAACGCCTTAATTTGCTGGTCGATGAGATTTTCAACACAAGGAGATATGGTGTGTGTACTTGCCCATCATATCACTTCGTAGCCGTACTGTATGCAGAGATAGTTACCTGTTGTTGTCGGACCCTGTCAGGATTTCTTCTGATATTTTATCATGCAAGATAAGTTGAGTTGTTCACAAAACCTCGGGTGGAGGCTGCTCAGAGAGTGGGTATAAGCAGTAACTTGCAGTGTTGTTAATCCTCGTTCTTGGGCTAGCAAGAAGGCTAGCAAAGGGGTAATAACTGAAGTATATGCATATTATTGTACATTGCTTTCTTTGCACATTAGCACTGCGGAGATTTTCAACAAGCAACAACAACTTGCATTTACCCAGCCCATCATGGGGCGGTAGTGTCCCGGAGCCCTTGACAGTGGCAGATTCTGACACCGAGCCACAGGGAGAGGGAAGCACGAACAAAAAGGAAGGTCTTTAGGCGGGATTTGAAAGTGGGGAGGGAGCGGGCAAGGCGGAGGATTGAGGGAGAGAGTTCCAGAGTTTCGGGGTGCAGTGGCTGACGCCACGGCCACTGTGGAGCGGGAGAGGATGTGGGACAAACAGGAGGCTTTGCCAGCCAAACGGAGATGGTAGATGATGGAGTGGGGGCTAAGCAGCTCGGAGAGGTAGGGAGGTGCGAGTACATGAAGGGATTTGAAAACAAGTGAGAGGATCTTGAAATTGTTCTGATTGATAATTGGGAGCTAGTGGAGCCTGGCGAGGACTGGTGTGATGGGGGTATTGAGCCCATAAATACTAAGCTAAGCCCAACACATTGAAAGTTTTTCCAATTAAAGGTGAGTTATCTATATATAAAAAAACAAGGTACTTGGATTGGAAATCTTCCTGACAGCAGGATTGAATATGTGTGATTTCTAGCGAGATTCCTTAATGTGGAAACCAATGGTTAACACACTCAGCACACCGGTTTGCTGGAACTCACTCTGAACATGGATTGTTTTGGAGTTCTCGAGAACTGGTGCGACTTAATAATCCACGCAATTGATATAGCGCCTCATCACATCTTCGAGAAGTGTCAAAGCGCTTCACTGAATATACTGTAAAGTGAATTGACTGTACATATATTGTGGCCGACTTGCTTCTGGTTCGTCCCCCTCCTTCCCCATCTTCAGGTCGCGCCTGAAGACCTTCCTCTTTGACCGTGCCTACGGTCACCTCCCCTCTCCTCCCGGCTCTGCGTCGTGCTACACCACTGTCAAGCGCTCCGGGACACTACACTATGTGAGGGCCGCAAGTAGTAGTTGTTGGTTTTCCGATGAAGGAATCTGCTTAGAAATTGTCGCATATTAGACCCCAGTATCTGCAAAGTTGATGTGTAACAAATGAGTTCACTAATTCAGCGGAGTAAGGTACTTCTTGTTATTTTATGTATTGGTTATTACGAGCAGTCAGTCTGTGAGAAGAGTTCCAGTTGTTTTGTTGGTCTTAGTTGGGTCGGTGTTGTTGTACTTTAATCATGATGAAAGTGAAATTGAAATGTTCTGAGGTTTATTGATGGCCCTTTGAACTTCAGTTTTGCTGGGCAAACAATGCATACTCCAAACAAGTATAAAAGCGATTGATTGCTCCTCATTTGGGTGAAGAAAGAGTTTAGAGAGGAATGGGCAGGATTGCTGACAGTTATGAAAGTTTAGCTTGAAGGGAGGTATGTGTGTGTGTCGCGCGGTTTTATTATTTCAGTGCCAGAATGCTGCTGCAAAGTTGTTCTAGACGTCCTGCACAGCAGTGAAGGCGTAGAAGTATGCCTTGTATGCTGTTATTAATATAATAATAATCCTTGCATTTGATATAGCGCCTTATCACTTCTTCGAGACGTCTCAAAGTGCTTCCCAGAATATAATGTGACGTGAATTGACTGTATATTTTGTGGGAGAAACGCAGCAGCCAATTGCACACAGCAGTTTCCTACAAACAGTCGTGGTTTGAAGTGCCCAATTTGTTATCTAATCAAGTTTTGATAACTTGTGGACAATGTGAAATAACCTGTGTTATAACACCCGGGTTGGATGGGTGGGCGTGGAATTGCCCTGTGACCTACCTATGGTAGAAAGACTTGAGTTCAGAATTTTAAAAGAACTTTCATCCATTTCTAGCCAAGATGTATGTGTCCTTTAAGCAATAGACCAGTGATAATGGGAGCACGGTTGGTGCAATGGACCAATGTTTACCAGCCAAGAACTGACACTTGGTCACTGAACTGTGCAGCCACGTTTGTTGTTGTTGTTGTTCCATCTTTCAAACTGCCTCCAGCAAGTGTGTGTTCAGCCATAATGAGTAGACTTTAATTGTTGGCAGACTGTGCGGGTTTACAGAATGGAGTTTTGACTTTTCTCAGCTACTAGTGTTACTCTGCTAGTGTTGCGCACGCAGTGATCTTGATCTCAGATATTTCTGGTATCAAAGGGGTCAGGCCATGACACAATTTACTCTCTGTCTGTCTGTAGCTGTTTGTAGTCATCTTATGATAACCCCTTCAAACAAATAACAACTAAATAAATAAAAACATTTGGTCACTCAATCCACAACCGTTTAGGACACTGCTGTGCGCAATCGGCTGCCACATTTCGCCCACAAAATATACAGTCAATTCACTTTACAGTTTATTCTGTGAAGCGCTTTGAG